TCAAGCCCCATTAATGACCCCTGTTCCTCCAGGTGCCCTATCCTGCACCGCAGACCCCCACCCCCATCCTTGCTTTACCTCGACCCCTGCCCTCTACCCTCTGCCCCACTCCAGCTCCTTACTCGAAGCCCAGCATGACCCTGGAGCCCAACAAGGACCTGCGGCCCGGGGACATGGTGACCATCACGTGCTCCAGCTACCGGGGCTATCCGGAGGCCGAGGTGTTCTGGCAGGACGGGCAGGGTGCGCCCCTGACCGGCAACGTGACCACGTCGCAGATGGCCAATGAGCAGGGCTTATTCGACGTGCGGAGTGTCCTGAGGGTGGTGCTGGGCGCCAATGGCACCTACAGTTGCCTGGTGCGCAACCCTGTGCTGCAGCAGGACGCTCATGGCTCCGTCACCATCACGCCCCAGAGAAGCCCCACAGGTTTTTGGTTTTGGTTTTGGTTTTGGTTTGCTTAAATCTCCAGTGAGGGCGGGATGTTTGGGTCCTATCAGCAGAGGCTGCAAGATTTGAATCTCGCTCCCTGTCTTCAGTCTCCCAGAACAGCGGCATTCTTGTAATGATAACAGGAAAGATAAACAGGATGGGGAGGCGGGGAAACTCACGTTGGTGGTGGGGGTGAGGACAACGACCACAGGCCTTCTACCGCTCTCCGGGTTTCCTGACTCCAAGGCTCAGGAAACCTCTGGAAAGGATGGAGAAGCATTCAGATCTCAGCAGAGAGCGTACGGATAAGAGAGGGAAACGGATCCATCTCAGGGGAGGGGGGTTGTGCTAGGGTTGGATGCTGCCCTAGGACTGGCCCCCGGGGAGAGGCATTATCAGGCCAAGGCCAAGCTGCTGTGATTCTTGTCATAAGATTAGGGTGACTCCACGTCTGGGAATCTGGAAACTCAATCTGCTTTTGGGTCTGGAAAGAAACTGGGAAGATGGACCAGGAACTGGGAGTTAATAGAGGAGGAGATCTGTGAGGCTGTGGGCTGGTACCCCGGCTTGTCCCCGCCCCTCCTTACCGCCTACCCAACCTCGCCCCCAGGCGCCGTGGAGGTCCAGGTCCCCGAAGACCCCGTGGTGGCCCTGGTGGGCACCGATGCTACCCTGCGCTGCTCCTTCTCACCCGAGCCCGGCTTCAGCCTGGCGCAGCTCAACCTCATCTGGCAGCTGACGGACACCAAACAGCTGGTGCACAGCTTCTCCGAGGGCCGGGACCAGGGCAGCGCCTATGCCAACCGCACCGCGCTCTTCCCCGACCTGCTGGCGCAGGGCAACGCGTCCCTGAGGCTGCAGCGAGTGCGGGTAGCTGATGAGGGCAGCTTCACCTGCTTTGTGAGCATCCGGGACTTCGGCAGCGCTGCAGTCAGCCTGCAGGTGGCGGGTGAGCGCCGGGAGGGGGCGCCCTCCCCTGGATGCCCGCCTCACTTCCCGCCGCCCCTTACCTCTTGTGCCATCACGAACCCCATACATAACTCAAGCCCCATTAATGACCCCTGTTCCTCCAGGTGCCCTATCCTGCACCGCAGACCCCCACCCC